CTGTGTCCTGCCTCCTCTCATGCTGGTGCGCCTGGCCAGAGAAAGCAGCATCCCTCTTCCCGTGGCACATGCAGCCAAGCAGAGCTGTGTTGGCATCAATACGGCGCCATGACACTTTAGGAGATCCCTCCTTTAATCTCCTGTAGGTGTTTTTTACATCTTGGCGTGGCTCACACCCTCATACCATTCTCCTGGTTTTGGCACAGCCTCTGGCAGCTCTGCAGTTTCTTATTGTGCTGCTTTGACACCAAAAAGCACCAGCCCTGGAGAAGAACAAGCGCTTTTCTTCTTCCTCGTGACACAAGGCTGTCTAGAGGAGGGTCCCCAGAGGAACGCAGGTAGATGAACTGCAAGGGTAACCAGAAAAGGCTACGTGGTGCTCTGCCTTATGGGGTCTCAATTGCAGTGCACCCCAGGTTTTGGCCCACACAAGGGCTGGGCATGATGGGTAGGAGCAGCCCTGCATGGAGAAATGCTCATCCCATGGGACTGACAAGCTCCCTGACAGCAGTGGGATCCAAGACCTGCACCCAGGGCAGGGCTCTGGAGTGGCTGGATGAACAGTGACAGGAGGAAAGAAGAAGGGATTGGGTCAGGGGAGACTTGCTGGGAGAGCTGGGTGACTGCAGCAGTCTTGCCAGAAAGGAGCCAGGGAAGCTTATGCGTTGCACCCAGCTTGGTGGGTGTTGCTGTCTGACTGCAGCTTGTGCAATTTCCCTGGGACACTTGCTTTTGCTTACATGGGGGACTGGCAACAGGAATGTAGATGTGTGCCTCAGTTGTCTTTATATGTCAAGTCCTTTGGACGAGAAAAGGCAACTGAGAGACATGGGAAGGGAAAGGGTGAGCATACAGGTAATTCTCTGGCTGGGACTCTGCATTCAGTTTCTTGCTGTGCCATAGAGATCCTGGTGCAAAAATAGAAAGCAATGATCCCTGACTATTTAAGGGAATTTACTTTGGTCATGTTCGTTCCCCTGCTGTGTCTTAATCAAACATTCTCTCAGGTAGACTTTGTCATATACCCCAAGAACATTGCAGTGTGTTGCACTGGTTGCACTTAAGTGGTGAGACTTATTTCTCATGGGAAATAGTGTTTGCGCACTTCAGCAGGCCAAGAGCAAAAGCACTGGGCTCACCCGGGTCTGTGAGTGAGCAGTGCAGAAGCCAATCTTCTACTACCAAACACACGAGTACTAATTTCAAGTCAGCGACCATGGGTGATCCTATTTGCTTGCAGAAGGTTCTGCAGACAGAAGGACATGGAGGTATTTTGTGACTAAATTACTCATTGCAAGTTATTATTTGCTGAGTTCTCCTGCTAGGCCATCCTTCACACAAACCAACCAGGGTTTGTGGAAGAGAAAACTGTTCTCCAGGAAGATGATTCCAGATTTTCTGGTGCAAAGTCTCCATGTCACGCCTCTTCTGTACCGCACTCCTTTTATTTCATAGCCCTGAGTTCCCCCTAAACCCATCTTTTCCCAGCTCCAGTAGCCACAGGTTTGTGAGAGTACTGTGGATGAATCTGCCCTCCCAGCAAGGGGCTTGGTGTGACTCACCAAGGCTGCACCTCCCTGGATAATGATGTGTGGACAGCCACACATGGAGGGACTCCTCTCACTTAACTTTAGACATCTTCATCTGTGCCAGTCACTCTTCGTTGTTTCATAGTTTGGGAAAGAAATGGGATTTTTCTATCTAGCCCATTTGGGACTCCTATTTCAAGATGCAGTGGAGGTTTTAGAGGTGCCCACTGAATGCAAAGGGAGTTCATGTATCAGTGCCTGCACTGTGGATGGGTAAAGAAGTCAGTGGGAGGACTCTCTCACCAAACCTGCCTGTAGTTGCTGGCAGCGGAGGGCGCTGACAGTGTGTTCAGATTTGTTGCTACCCAGATTTTTTGGGGATTGCAGGTGGCAGGCACTTGCCACATCTCCATCTACCTGTAGGGCCTTGCAAGTTGCCACGCTGGTGCCACCTCAACTGCAATTTGGTGGGGACACCTACAGAGTGCAGGAAGCTCTTTAGTCATGGAGGCATAATCAGGGACAGTTCAGGTTTGCATCTCAGGGTGGCACTATAAGTTGATCCATTATGAAACACACCCTTTGAGTTTGAGTTGAGACTTTGAGTTTCAGGGAGAAATGTAGCGTAAGAGAGAAAATGACCCTGTCAGGAGAGTCAGGATACAGATGGTCCAGGCTCTCCTTGTAAGTACAGGAGACTTAGGGTCGAGACTGAAGATTTGAGCTGGGTCTCCCATGTCTCCAAGCTTTTCCTTGATTGTTGCTTTTAACAGTCAGTTGGCTGCTTCTGCCCCCAGGAGCATAAACCGAGACAGCCTTTCCTGACATGAGCAGCTGGCCAGGTAGCTTGACTGATAGCAGGAGATATGCCAGACACACAAGTCAACGGAATCCATATTAGATTTTCTTTTGGTTTCATTCCTAACACATCATGAATGAGTTGAACAGGTGGATGCCTGCCCATTTATTCCTAAAAGCCGTTCATACAATTGATTAGGCTGCTATTAAGTGATGACATTACCAGTTAAGCACGCATCTTTGCTAATTGAATAATTCCTTGCTGTGAAAAACCTCACAAGTCAGAGAGACTTCCTACATACTTTGCTTATTTCCAAGGGCAGGATCTTCCAGGCTGCGGCACTTCACATGAACTCCATAAATTTCAACTTTAACATGTACATTGTGCTATTTTGTAACCTTCTTCTAGATTCCAGATTATGGCATTAACCTTTTGTTGGCCAGAGGCTGGTACTGTTAAACTCTTCATTCCTAACAGGTTTACTCTGATGTCCAGGCTTTTGGCTACGTGGGACTTATTTCCTGCATTTTTTCATTAAAACCTTCAGTCTCGTCGTACTCTTAAAGTGCATTTTTGACACTTCAGAGTTTTCCAGAATGGCAAAATTGTTTTCTGCTTTTTTGGGAAAAGGAATTGTTGCTGTTACTGATAATTTTTTTTAATTATTTTTATTTTGTTCTTCTCATCCTGTTGACTTAATACTCTTTGCGTGGGCAGTTTCACATGTTAGTCTAGATGACACAGGTGTTATTACGCATCTGCGCCTTTGGGTTGTTACGCAAGTTTATACAACCAAAGAGAAGAAGAAAACCCTGGTTACTGAATGCCCAGGTCTCATTTGAAAACAAGGTTATGGCAGGACTGAGGAGTCATCGAACAGATGGTGGGCTGAAATTAAGAGGTGGAGGACTTTTTTGATGGGACGTCTCATAAAAGTCTACTAGGAAGACAGACTAGCCCAAGAGGAATATTGTGCTGTGGCTTGACAAAAAAAAAAAAAATCACAAGAAGAGAGATTGTGAGGCACAGAGTGTGGCTGATTTGTGGAGTGGAGTAGGATTAATGGAGGATATCAGAATGGACAGATTTAAATGGCTGCTCAGAGAACTGTACTGTATCCATCGAGAAATGCAATACCTTCAAAAAAGGAATGGAAAAATCCAGTGCTCCTTTTCTTAGAGCCTTGCCATGGTGCATCCTCACTGGTATTGCATCCTTATTGGTGTTGCTTAATGGACACTGTCGATACATACAATGAAACAGTAGATATGTGACGAATCGCAGCCATACAGTGCACTGGATAACAAGAGATGAGCAAGTCTGTAAAATAGGGTGGGTTTGTGCTGGGAATTGGTAGAGTCAAGGGCAAAAGTTTCCAGGGTAGTTTGACCAGGGAGAGAGTTCTTGTTTAGAGCTTGCAGAAAAAAGTAGTCTCATGCCAAGATCAGTGGGACTGGAAATGCACCCCCTGCAGTAAAAATACAGGGAGATCCCAAGGTAATGGGAGTTCAGAGAGGAGATCTGGCAAACCTGTGAACATCTAGTGATTTTGATGCCTTTAAGATTTGTCTGTTTGGCAGCTCATAGCTTCACTGATGGTGTTTAGGGTGAGGTTGTCTCACCCTGTAATACAGTCCTGGTCTGAAAAGAAGGTCTGAGAATACCAAAGCTCTACAGGAGAAATAAGGATCAGAGTTTATTTCTGTTATGCTGCTTCCTGTGTGGAAACCAGATGTTCCAATGGGCGATCACTGTGTGTAGGTGATAGCAAGCCTCTCTCAGCAGGAGGAGCAGGAGCTCTCTGCAGCTGGTCTGGGAAGTTCACTGCTTCAGGAAGCCCTGAAATTAAATAGATAGTTAATCTGAGGAGGGCTAGGGTGGGGTAGTTAGAACGACTTGACAGAGCATTAACACCATTTGCTACTTATTAAGAGAAGGGTAACTGTGGTTAGCTGAATGGAGATAATCAGATGGCCTGAAGTAGTCCTTTTTCAATCTTATGTCTTTTATACCTCCCTGGTGTCATGTTCTGATGACTTGATTATTGGTTGCTGCCTCAAATAGGTTCCCAGTAAAATCCTCATTCTTTTCATGCTGTAATAGGATTATCATACAAGATGACGACGTTTGTACCTAAGCCAAAATACACAGCAGTTTACATGTGGAACAAGAATCCATGTAGAAATTATATTTTCTAAAGATCAGCATAAAGCCCTTCAAACAGGCCCAACCCACACAGAAAATACAAGTTGCTGTTGAATCAATAATGAAGCAACAAGTTTCAAGGCTGTGCCAGGAAAACAGGGAAAAGTCTCGCTTCTCTGGTACCCCCTCGCATCCTTACCTACTGAGGAAGTTTTTGTCTGCCATCAGTTACTGATTCACTCAGTCCAGGGAAGGGCTGCTTTCCAGTTTGGTTTGAATGCCGGTCCTCTAATCAGCTGGAGAAAAGGAGCCACTTATATAAGCCAAGGGAAAGGAAATGCTTCTGCAATACGACTCACATGAATAGCTAGGACTGAGCGCTGGTTGACTCCTGAAGTCCAGCTTCTGCATCTGCTCACCCCGTTTCTTTAGGGCTGTGTTGACTGGGAGAAGTGGCAATTTGGGAGGCTTTCCTCTTCTTACTGGTCTTTTTTTTTCAAGGCAGTCCGTGAAGGAAAGTGGAAGGCATGACCCCCTCCTCAGACAAAGAGCTCAACGGGCTAGATAACCCCAGCTTTGTGGTGAGTCTGCTCTTCCCTGGAGGGTAATGCTTGCATAAACGGGTGCGAGCCCAGCAAAAGGAGGAGAAAGGGAAAGGCAGGGGGCTTGGACTGGCTGCAAGGATGCTGGTGTGAGGTAAAGGTCTGTCTCGGCTCCTTTATTGACAGGAATCTGAGGAATTATTTCCACACTACAGCCTGCTGCTGCTGCAGAATCAGCATACTTTCTACTCGCTGGCACTCTTTTCACTTCTTTTCTCTCCATTATTTCTAAAATGATAGTTTAGATGAATGGTGGCACAGGTATCTGTACTGAAAAGCAAGCGAGCTCAGGGCTCTTTGTGGCTGTGTCCCTGGGTAGAGCATTTATGTATTAATTAGTAAAATTACAAGTGAAATTTAGCTTAGTGAAGAGTGTGTTTCTTTGTCTTCTGCATCTATTTCTAGTGGGGTAAATTGGCAGAGAAGTGGGGGAAAAAGGGATTTGAGAGTCGGCAGGGGAGAGCACCCTGCAGGGTTACAGCAGGGTGGTAAAAGCTGTAAATGATGTGTCAATTCAGGGGTGTGCAGTGCACTGGAAATGCTGCAGGCTTTAACAGCCATAGGGCAAGGGCCTGAGGCACAGCAGCCCCCTTCCTACCTCACGGCAGGGCTCACCTCCATGAGAAACTAAAAGAGCTGCTTATGTTCTGACACCAGGTGTGAGAGCGGTGTCTTGACACTGTCGGTACGGACCACCCACCTGAGGGACCTTGGAGGAGGCTTTTAACCTCCTGCTGTCCAGGTCTCCCATTTCTCAGGTAACTCTTGGTCAGCTGGCTGTGAGCAGTGGGGGTGCTGTGCCAGCTGTAGGCAGAGCCTCAGGGAGGTACTCAGAGCAATGCAGAAGTTCTCTTTCGCTATTGTTAAAGTCTCTGTTTCTACCTGTTCTGCCATAACGCAGATCAGACTTGTGACTTCCTCTGGTTTGAATCACCCCAAAGAAGACAGAGGTCTTCTTTTACTTGTGGTTCAAGCACCTCAGTTTCCGATCACCTTCCTAATGCGCTGATTTACGATGCTGTTGAGGGCCATGATGTTGTGCCTGGAGCCTGAGGCACACCGAGGGCGTCCTGGTCCCCTGGGTTTGTGGGACAAGCAGGGCTGAGAACCACCAGCAGTGGTTCCGCGTTCCCACTCCGGGCTGCTCCTGCCTTGTCCTCCTGCCAGCATCTCAGCATCACAGACTGGCTGAGGTTGGAAGGGACCTCTGGAGGTCAACTTACCCAACCCCCGTGCTCAAGCAGGGTCACCTAGAGCCAGTTGCCCAGGTCTGTGGCTAGACAGTTTTTAAATATCTCTAAGGATGGAGGTTCCACAACCTCCCTGGACAACCTGTGCAGTACTCGGTCACCCTCACAGTGAACGAGCGTTTCCTGGTGTTCAGATGGGACCTCCTGTGTTTCAACTTGAGCCCATTGCCTCTGGTGCTGTCTTGTCCTGTTATCTTCACTGCATCTTTCTCCCGCTGAGCCCTGCTCGCTCCCCTCCAACTCCTGGGGAGGGTCAGGCATTCATGTGATGGTCATGCGGGGCTGTTACTGGCACTCTGCCCGGCTGGAATACGCCTCCTGGTTAACAGGGGAAAAGTTGCAGTGCAAGGCAAGGAGCTTACTGCTGTCTGCCTAGCTTAGGATTCATCTACCCATGGTGTTATTCAGGAGTAGCTGTCCCCAGATAACTCCGTGCACAGGCAGTCTTAAGTACCTTGCTGTACATTTGTTAATCCATGGCTCAGGCTCTCTTATTCTGAAATGAAAATGTTTCCACAGGGAGTTATTTAGGAACGCCTTTTGCTCTTGAAGTTCATGCCTGAGCTCAGTTTGAATTAACTCTGCCTTCACCTATCTATTCTGAAGTATCTGTAATGGTCCCAGCCTGCCTAGGCTGGGTAAATACACTGTGTTTAAAAGGTATTACAAAGCACATTTTCAACAGCGTGATCTAAAATGGGACTTTGGAGACTCAGCCTTGAGAATGGAAACCTGGAGTTTTCAGGCAAATGATGAAGTCCTTCAGGATTAATCTGCCACACCTGCAAAATTTACAACTGAATGTAACATTAATTTTACATCCCTATTCCCTGACCGAGCATTAGCTGTTTGCCTTCATCAGTAGGTAGGCCATGAACGTTATCGCAACCACCTCACTTTGCTGGGCATTTCGGTGTCTTCAGGTTCCAGCAGGACTTGGAGGATAAAGAAAAAAAGCAGTTTGGTGCTGACAAACTGGTTGAGCTTCTCCTGACAGCAGATTTCTGTCCCTGACTGACGGAGCAGGCCATCCCAGCCCAGAAAAGCCCTCTGCTGACAGCGTGCCGAGGACTCACTGGCTGGAGAAGGGACGATGAAACAAATGGTTTGGGATCTTAATTAGCTTTTGCATTTGGCTCAAAACGTTGTGGCTTCCCAGGCAGCCTCCCTCTACCACATGCGTGTGTGTGTATGCACAGGTGGGATGTGCATGTGTGTGTGTATGTGTGCGTGCGCGCACATGGGGTGTCTGTGTGCGCGCACGCGCGTGTACACGTGTGTGCTCAGGGGTCAGGGTAGGTTGGAGGGAGGAGTGGACAACTGGGGGCATTTGCTTAGCTTAAAAGCTGTGGCAACTGAAGCAAAGCAATATTTTGCTTTCCTTGGCAAAACATGTCTTTGTGTAAATAAACTCTGAAAGGCATACAGCTCCCTGGGGAGCCCTGGGGCTTCTGGCTGCCTGGGAGGGGATCTGAGCCTTCCTGGGGAGCTATTTCGTACCCCACCACCTCCCTGAGGGCCCAGGTCCCCAGGCTGTTTCCCGGTCCCTGGTGCTGCCCCTGCCCTGGGGCATCCCTCCGGGTCCCGCTCCCCACGGCAGGTGGCCAAGCTGGGGCAGCACTCCGGTAGCCCTGCTTCAAGTTGGCTCCTTTGAAATGGACGCCGGGACTCCCCGTCCGCTGGTGTCCCTGTGTTTCACCCGGTTCCTCCGTAGGAGTGAGGTTTTCCAGTAAGACAAAGTGCAGGTGTGTTTATTGAGACAGAACATTTGTAAGGGTGAGTGTAAGGAGACTGGGAAGAGAAGACTTAAGAAAATGAAATATAAAATATGCTTCTACTCTGTAATTAGTGGTGGCCAGGTTGTTTCAGCATATTTTATCAAAAGTGCTGTTTGAGTGGGACAGCCAGGAGGGACAGAGACCAGAGGACAGCGCGGCTTCCACCGATTAACCCACTGCACACTCTTTCTTACTTCTGGTTCCAGTTTCTCCATCCTTAGCTAGACATTAATGATACTAATGCACTTTGTTCAGATGTCCCTTTGAGGCTTAGACACCCTTTAATGTTTCTTCTGGTCTAGACACACATGTGCATACAAAAATTTTCCATAGGTGTTTTTACCTCCGTTTTAATTTCCCCCTTGCTCTTCTTTTTTATCCTGCCCTTGTTGAAAGCTACATACGAGGTGTCCCTGCAAGATATGGAGCGCAGCTGCAAGAGAGGCGGCTGCCGGGGGCCTGCAGGGCCAGGCTGTGGCTAACGAAGGGTCTCTCCTGTTTGCCAGGGTGAAGATAGGAGCCACTACTGCTCCTCACCGGATCGCGCTGCCCGAGGCCCAGAGGAAGGTGGGGGCATGGGCCACGGTGGCAGCAAGCTTGCTTACACCGTCACGGAGGTGCCCCCCTGGTACCTGTGCATCCTGCTGGGCATTCAGGTGCGACCGGGGAGCAGGTGGAGGCCGAGGGTGGGTGGAAGTTTAATGGCTGTTCAGCCGGTTAATGGCTGAATTTGGGAGCACTTCACCTTCACTGGCCTTGAATGGAGCTGTAGGGCTGGATCTTGAACTCAAGTCCTTCCCACCGCCTCCTCAGCACCGACTGTTATCCTTGTGCCCACAGCTACACCGTGCCCCTTGAAGTGCAACTGCAAAGGCAGAGTCCCAGGGTTGGACACAAATAGTTAATGAGAACAGATTGGATACCTCGGCTGAAGGCAGCCAAATGTCTAAGGGCTTCTGAACTTCTGCCTTCCCATGGCAATAAAAACTAAGCAGAAGGGCTAACGCTGCTTTGCTGGAGTGCGTGCCCTGGCATGTTAAATGACCCAATGCCACCAGTGCCACACTGGGTACGGAGCCTCAGGGAAGAGAGACCTCAGAGTGATTAAAGTAACGAGGGACTGTGCCTGGAGCTTGGTGGGCATTTTGTACTTTGTTTCCTTAAACAGTCATCTAAAATTTAGCGTGTATTAAACCAAGGTTTTCTGAACACATCTGCATCATAATTTTAATAAAACATGCTTCTAATGATTACAGTGAGTTTTTGAGTGCCACCAGTTCCACCACTGCAGTCCTGTGCTCTGAGGTGAGAACTAACAACTAAGGTTAATGTTTAAAGCAAAAATAAGTTTGAAAAATTATTTTCACATTTAGTAATTAACGGAAGGTCATTGTAGAAATACGTCTGTGACTCTTCTGAAAAATGCAATGCCTGATTTTTCCATTCTTCCGCATCCATTTTTTATGGTTATCCATAATTGCACTGTGTGAGAAAAGCTACTGATAGCAAAGAATGGGTAGCTCCAATTTGCCAACTTTTTATCCTTTGTGGTGCAGATGAGATGGACTGAAACATTTGCACTCACTTTGCCTGATCCCTCTCTCTCCCTACCTTGGGATGTCCCCACCTTCCTGGAAGAGTAGCCACTGACAGCTTTGTCTGCAGGTGCTGGGGATAAACTCTTTGTGTCTGACAGCGGTCTGGGGAGTCCAGAGCATTACAAAAGGTCTTTGGGCATGGAAAATGGGAGAAGTTTGTGGGGGCGCATTGCAGTTCTTGTAGGTGCTTTGGAACAGCCCCCAACAGAGCCTTAAAGTTGCCAGAAAAGAGAATGGGTAATACTAGTACCGCCCAAACACAAATCTGTGAGTTACTTTTAGATTTCCCTCAACAACACGGTAATAATACAGAGCCAGTTCTGTGTCCTTCACCCAGTCTTTCTCTGTGGCTCCTAGCATTTCCTGACAGCCATGGGAGGTCTGGTAGCCATCCCGCTGATCCTCTCCAAAGAGCTTTGCCTCCAGCACGACCTCCTCACCCAGAGCCACCTGATCAGCACCATCTTCTTTGTCTCAGGGATTTGCACCGTGCTGCAAGTCCTCTTTGGAGTCAGGTAGGCCAAATGCAAGAAATGGGACACGTGACAAAACAGTTTGTAGATGCAATTACTACATGCTTGGCCACCAGTCTGCTGTAGAGTTTAGTTATCAGTGAGGGTCATTTGCTACCCTTGGGCAATCAGGGTATGTGCCAAAGCACCCTGAAATCACTGTAGGTGATAACTTTGCAGGGCTACCTCGCTGTTCTGACTTTTGCATCTCCTAGTTCTTGGTGCACCTTTGTTTGGGCTTACAGTGGGTGCCCCCAGACCGATGCCGGCTTAGCCCGCCCAGCCGCCGGACTCGCTGAAACTTTGCCCTCCACCGACTGCAGGCGGGTGCTCCCCTTCTACGTTGCTACAGGATTAGTGGAGAAGGGGGGACACCCTGGCCACAAGAAAGAGAGAATCCGGTTCTTCTCAGTTTGGTTAAATTCAGCCTGGGGTGCACGAACATGGCTGTGGCTGCTGGTGCAATTCAGGCTCCCAGGCACCCCCCAAAGGCCTTGGTGTATACCTGAGCGCTGTGATGTCCCTCCTCCCTGTTAGCCGAGGATGAAAGAGTAGCAGGGAGCCTCTCCCGTGGCTGAATAGCTAAATGAGGTACACCAGATCAAATTAAGTGGTAACAAGTTGTTCCCGTAGGATAAGCTTGAAAGGCTTTTGCTGTGCTGAGGACGCAATTGCCTTGTTGCTGGCCCCAGCTCTAATGGGTGAGGATATTCCTGCCAGAAAGGTGGGACTCTGCCTGCGTGTGGCTGGAGGCAAACCAAGCCTGAGGAGACAGTTGGAAGCAGATTATTTTTTCTCCTTCTACTGTTTTCTCAAAAGCTGTAGTAATTGATAACCATGAGTCCCCAAAAGACAGCCAGAAAAATGGTAAATAATGAGTTGGAGGGGATGCTTTTTCCTGGAAAATGTCTGTGCCACTCTCCGAGGCCCTGGGGAGCCCTCAGCTAAGCATGCTGCACAGTTCCCGGTGTCCACATTTAAGACAGACTAATTAAGAGGAGAAGAGTTATGGAGATGATCTGTTAATGTGGCACGGGGAAGGGAGGCTGGCCTGGTTAGCCTGGCAAAGTGGCAGCTCAGAGGGGTATGGCTGCAGTCTGCAACTAGTCTGGGAAAGAAATGGGGGGGATCAGGCAGGGAGAAACCATTTCAGCTAAAAGACAATGTTGGCACATGAATGAATGGATGGGAACTGGCCACGGAGATGGGGAGGTTCCCACCAAGAGTGAGCGCAGTTTCGGAGCAGCCCTTCAGAAGCAGTAGCCAAGGGTAAAGCTTGACCCACTGCAACCTGCAGCTCGTTTGTGTTACACAGCATGAAAAAGCAGTGACAGGTCCGGGACGGTCACTGGACAGACTATCCAAGGGGCCCCTGAGGGGAGACATAGGTTGCTTTGCCATTGTGGTGAGCCCCCCCTTAGCAGATGCTTGGACATCGTGTAGTGATGATCAGAGCATAACTTTTCTTTCTCTAACTAAACCTGCAGCTTTCCCTGGAAAGAGCTCAGCATGCCCCATATGCATCACCTCAGCACTCCAGTTTGCTCTGAGCCCACCCATGCCAGCACCGGCTGTGAAACAGCTTGAGGGCCAACGCAGCGGGAGCTATAAATCTATTGTTAATTCAACAGTCGTGCCACTGGGCCTTCTCTGTTTCTTTTTGTTTGTTTTCTGCCTTGCCCAGCAAAATCCTTTGAAGGCTGCAACGTGTTTGGCTGAATGCTGTAAATAAGTGACTTCACAGATGACTGATACTCAGATATAACTTACTGGCAAAGCACCGACAGTGGTTCAGTTGTGCATGGTGTGATTAATTGCAGTGGTATAGATATTTGTTTTAGGTGACAGAGACATGGTGCTGTTACAGGTATGCCACCTCTTATTTTCCAGTGCTTTCCAGAGAATAGTGGAAACACCTCTGGTTCAGGGAAATCTGTGCCCTGCCGAAGCACTCACCTGGCTCGCTGCCCTGCTGCTTTTCTGAGCAGGTGCCATGAGAGCGCTTGGTGCAAGAAGCGGTTGCTTTGGGGGCTGCTCCCAGGGGCGATTTCTAAACGGAGGAAGCCGAGGCACCTGGGAGGCTTCCCTCAGCTTGTTCAGAGCTGCTGTGCCAGCCTGCGCCCTCGGGCAGCTTTGGGTTTTTCAATCACGCTAGAGGAAATGGTCAAAACAACTTGCACTGTAACAGGGACTTAATGGCTGTGGTGGCTTTTCTGTCTCCATATCCCCCTGCGTGGAAGAAGAGGCTGGCAGGAGCACTGGCTCCGCTGTACAAAGCTCTGTATGAAGCCAGTGCTGAGCGCCTCTGGAGCTGTGAGCTCCTTGCTAGCCTGAGGGGTTTCCAGAGTGAGGCTTACTCTAAGCCAGGAGACACACGGTGTCGGGGGAGAGCCAAGGTCTCCCCCAGCCAGCGTTCAGACCCATCCATGCAGGTCTCCTTTCCAGTGTCGGTGGAAGCAGGGTGGAGTCATTATCTCTAAAAACCTGTACTAAAAGCCAAGTCACATTTTCCACTGCCCTCAGTCTGAGGCTGGTTGTGACGTGGGGAGTAGCCAGTGCACGTCCTTGTGTTCATGAGCAGGTTGTGAAGAAAACTGAGGCAGCTGAAGGGGACAGAGGAAGCAACCAGATATTGGAAAGATTTGGGCCTAGGTTGATGCTAAGCTTTTCTTCAGAGTCTCGCCACCTTTCTTCCTTGGTCTTCTCCCCTCCTCCAGCTTTTTCCTTTGGTTGTTGTTTTACTCTGTGCAGCTCTGTGGTCTAGTCACAACTTAAGAGGAATACTTTTTCCTTAACGTGGGGTAGCAGAGTTTGACTCCAGCACCGATGAGCCTCTCCATTGGCAGTATTTGAACCTGAGCTCTTCCCCTTGGGTATGTTGCTCTTGGGTGCAATGGGCAGCAATGCCCACCCGTGGTCAGTGATGGAGACCTGCCAGAACATTTCAAAAGATACTGCCAGAGGCCATGCGCAGACCAATTTTTAAATGTATTTCACTTTCCTTTCAGTCACCCCTATGGAGCTGGGTTTGTAGCATCCTTGCTCGGCATCTTTTCCCTCTGCTCTCCTTCCAGGTTGCCTATTATTCAAGGAGGCACTTTTGCATTCCTGACCCCAACCCTGGCCATGCTGTCTCTCCCCAAGTGGAAGTGCCCTGCCTGGACGCAGAACACTACCCTGGTGAATGCCTCTTCACCAGAGTTCATCGAAGTCTGGCAGACACGGATGCGAGAGGTATATTACATTTTCAGTGGCACCTGCTCTGTATCAGGGCTGTTTGCTTTCAGAAAAGCACACGACCGTAGCAGGGCCATCAGTGATGGAGAACCCACCATCCCCAATGGACCTTGGCCCTCACCCTGTTGCAGCTTCCTGAGCATCTAGTCTCCATTAGGAAAGCAGGTGCTTTGCTGCTGCTGAACAGGGGACATGCAGACCTCAGGTGATTTATGGTCCCTGCAAAGTCTCCACTGGTGCAGCCAGATCCTTTCTCCAAGAAGTGTGGTTAGCCTTGAGGAAGGAAAGGAGGGAAGATGTTTCTAGGGAAGGGACCCTGTCTAAGCACAGGAAACCTAGTAAAAAGAAATGCAAGGGCAGAGCTTACTGTAAATATTAAGGAAAAGTGCATTCTTAGGTAGTCAAAAGAGAGGAGGAAAGGTCAGGGATCTCAGTGCCTTGTCCTACATCTATTGCCTTGTCCTACATCTATTGCCTTATCAGAGTAGGTGACTAAATTTGCCTCTGTCAATCCATACGTTGGGGTGCTTTGCAAAGTGCACGGGAAGCGTGAGCTCACAAAGGATTTGCTGTGCAGCACAGGCTGCCCTCCCTGCCGACACTCGTAAATCTGCCACAAGGGCAGTGCTGCCTTCTCCTTTCAGGCTGGGCGCTTCACCCCAGCCCTTGTGTTCCTCTTCCCTTTGGAGACAGGGGAGGGAAGGTGCTGAGCACCGCAGAGGACCCAGCCTGGGTTTATCATGAAATCTGCGAAGGCAGAGAGCAGCCTCACCCCTGAGTCCCCTGCCTGGAGCTGAGGTGAGCAGCGAAGGGCATTTCAAGGTGTAATCACTGGCTACTTAGCAGTGATTGTCAAACATAGGAAAGTTCAGGGTGATAAATGTGTCCCCGAAACCGATACTCAGAAAAAACCAGGCTGTAATGACCCACCTGCCCTACCAGTGTGCTGAAATGCTCCAAGCCCTTCCCAGATGGGAGATGAGTGGAGACCATGGCCCTGCTCCTGTTTTTGGGGCAAGATCTTTTCCCCTGCATTTCAGGGGAGCAGGAGGAGAGAGTGCAGGGAAGCTGATGCATGCTTGGGTGGCCCAAGAGGCCAGGGAGGAGGGGGTCTCTGGAACAAAATTAGCCCTGGTGAGGACTAAATCCATCAGCCAAGGGGGAGTTGGTGTGTTGGTACTTTGGTGGTCCTTCCCCACATGTAATGCTCAGACAGGCTTTGGTGTAGTCAGTGGAAAGCCTCCATGCTGGGCCGTCACTGGAGGCTGAGCTTGGCTCTCACACTGGTTTTGCAGTGACTTATGAAGAAAAGGCTCAACAGCTGGAGCTCCTTTAACCTCTGCTCTCTTCCTCCATTTTTCTAGGTGCAAGGCGCTATCATTGTAGCTTCCTGCTTTCAAATCTTTGTTGGATTTTCTGGCCTGATTGGGTTTCTGATGAGGTTCATCGGCCCCCTGACAATTGCCCCCACCATCACCTTGGTTGCGCTACCACTCTTTGACTCGGCTGGGGACGAGGCTGGGCAGCACTGGGGCATAGCATTCATGTAAGTCTCACCTCCCCGTGGGAAAGCTGAGTGTACACAAACTGCCTACTTCTAATATGAAATCAAATGTCGCAGTCTGTAGCAGGGTTCCCCTGGGTTCGAGGTTTCTTTGTTGAGCACTAACGTGTGGCAGGCTTGTGCAAGACAGCAGCATGGCATAGTTCCCCCTGCCCCAGGAGGTTAGAGCCTTCAGCAAAAAAGCAAAACCCCAAAATGAGTTAAAAAAATCTGATTTTTGTGAAAATCCAAAGTTCATAGGTCAGTAGAGAAACAAGCCTTCCTTGTGTGGGGTTCCTGGGGACAGTCTCTGTCACAGTTGTCTACGCACACTGTCTTACAGACCCATTATTTAAGTTAAATAAACATTCCTAAAATGACAAAGTTGAGCACTCAGGTATTCCTTGAGTTAAAATAGCTGGTGCTTTACGTATTGTTTTCACATGAAGAGGAGGAATAGTTTTCTCCACAGAGGGCCTGGGGGGCTCTGGAGATGTCTGTGCATGTGCCTTTGCAGCATCGCGTGCTGTTTCAGGGATATTTGTGTGCATGTCCTTGTGCCTGACTGTACAAGTGTGCTCAGTGTCAGGATTTCCCTGGTATTTCAGAAATGAATTAAAAAAGTAGAAATGCCACTGCATGGTTCCCCTGCAGATTTGGCAACTTCAGGTCCCTGATGCAGACTTCAGCTTGGGATAACATGCAACAGGAGTAGGTTGTTATCCTCCCTATGGGCTCCCATCAGTTTGCTAGTGCTTTCAGAGGTGCCTTTGGAGACTCAGGGGCCAGGCTTGACTGCAGCCCCAGGAAGGCAGCGTGCTGTTGTGGGGACGTGCTCCAATCCACCTCTCTCCAGTTCTCTTCTGCTCCCCACACCTGCCCTCCCAGGCCCCAAAAGCCACCTCTCTTCTCCACCTCCAGTTCCTCACTTAACTGGTTCCTTCCACCAGCACCCCATATGACCCCAAGCCTTGCCTGCCCCCAGCTTTCGTTTAACCATTATTTCTCCCACCACATCTCTGGCTTGTTGTCCTGTTCTCCAGCTCTGATGATTTGTCCTAGCCCCTATGCTTAGCCAGTCTGATTTTTCCCTTCAAAATGTATATCCTTGCCTGGACTATCTCTGTTTTCTGCCTTCTGTTCTCCAGTCAGTGGCTCCTAAACTCAGTCCCTCGCTTGACCTCTTTGCCCAGCTGGGCTGCTCCATCAATGGGGTCCCAGCCCTCCAGCCCATGTCCCTGTTCTCAACCCTGGTCACTCTTTCAAAACCGTCTGTTCATTTCTGTACCATCTTCTACCCGTGCTAATCCCAGTCCTTTCTTCCATGACTCAGACACCTTAGCCCTGACCTGATCATTTTGCTTTGAGCTGTCCGAGTTTGTATCCTCTTTTGCTGCCTCCATGCTCCGTGGGTGCCATTAGGGAAGGGGGGAGAGGGGTGATGGAGAAGGCAGAAGACATGAGCCACGTGGTCTCAGCCTTGCTGTCCAGCCCCATCATATCCCAGAGCCCCCATGACAGGCGATACCTGCTGTTGCCTCAAGAAACTGGTCTAGTGCTTGCTCACTTGCTCCCTGGTGATGGTGCATTACTGGGCAAGGCCTGGACGTACTCAGAAAGCTCAGAATCTTTATGGGCTGCAAATGCTAAAGCCTGAGATGTTTCTGCTGTCTGCCTGGGACGTGGGATGAATGATCATTTTTACAGACTGATCGCAGTTGAGCAGATTTTTGTGAGAAAGAGCAATATCCCTCACCCCAAAGAACAAGTTCTACTAACTCTCAAATTTCAGCTCTAGGTCATAAGCAGACCCTGGTACTGCTCAAGGCAAAATGACCTTCTTGACGCAGGCTATATACTATGTCTATTTCCTGAACATCACTCTTTGAAAGAGGTTTGGGGTATATTTTTCCAGAAATATTTGGCCTGAGGCAGATGTTTTCCATGGAAATTGTCATCCCGAGTGGGTAAAGTTAGGCAGAATTATAAGCAGCTGAAAATAGCATTTGTTAATGGAATGTGTCAGGCAACCTGAATAATAAGCAGTGACACCTACCCGAGATAGACGAGGGCTCTGCAGTGATTCATAAGGCTGCCGAGCACCTTTGTTAATGCAAATGCACAAAATGTACACTGACGCAGTCTGTCTGGGCTCTGTAGCTTTAGAAACCACGAATGGAAACCAGTTCCTCCTTAGACTTTCTGCCTCCAGTCATTCAGTGCTTTGAATCGTGATTGATAGATAAACTTTGGCTGTATGTTGCGGTGTGTCTTTGTAGAGAGGTGAAGGTAGTGTTTCCTTTGCACTGCTGGTATTCTGCCTGCCTGTGAATATTGCACCTGTAGCTCAACACCTTTTCACATGTGGAAAACTACCAGTTTTCCATCCACTGTCAGTGCACTTTAGCTGGTGCAATCGATTTCTCACCAAATCCTATCTGGATTAATTTACTCAATGTATACAATTCAGATTTGTTAGAAAAAAAAATGAGAAGACCTTCAGAGGCCTGGTTAACATAGGAGGAAAATGTCCAAGGTCTTCTACCAGCTCAGCAGTCAAGGTGGAGCGCCCAGTCCCTGCCCTCTCGCCACATATTGCAGCCTCCAGCCTTATCTGGTTGCCCTTTCTGGGGGGAAGACACACAGAGGGCAGACAGGGCTTGCTGTGAGCACACCCAGCTGTGCTGCCATTCGAGGGAGATGTGTCCTACGCAAGGGATGGGAGAGGAGCTGCACCTCATAGTTGCTTCCACTGGAATGAGCCCTGGGTGCTGTCAGGGGCACACGTGAGCACCCCTGCCTTGGAGGACCCCTCCGCCACACAGCCCCCTCGCAGACTGGAGGGCTGTGCTCTCCCCTTGGCTGGCTGGGAGGGCTCTGTGGGCACTACGTGCAGCCCCATGGTTCCACCGTGGTTTTTTTCTTTTGAAACAGGGACTTGCACAACCAAATCAAATCCTCTTTCTTTCCTCTGTGCCACGTAGGAGCTTTTTGCCACTTGCAGAGCAGCATAGGTAAACCTGAAATCAGGAAACCAATAAATCCTATATTTCCAATATATCTGAATTACACAGAGGTTGAGGGACAGTTTCCTGGACATAGCCTGCCTGGACCTTGCATGTCTTTCAGGTTTTTCTTTTACTTGTCATTTTTAAGCTCTGGCAACTATGTCATACTCAGTGATGCACCATCTGGGGGTTGGTTTTGAAACAAAAGGGGAAAAAAAATTTGCAAATGCAGCAGAGCTGTCAGTAGAGTATGATGGAAAGCTTGTTCCACCCCAGGCTTGCTGGAGTGGGGAGCCACCCTCTGGTGCTGAGAGCCTGGTTTTTGGGGTCCTCTGGAGTCCTGGGTCCTCAGGTAGCAGGTCTTCAGTTAATGTGGGGACAGGCGGGCAGCTCAGCACCCACTTCGTCTCATGGTCTGGTTTTCCCTTCTCCTAGGACTATTTCTTTCATAGTTCTGTTCTCTCAGTACCTGAAAGATGTCCCTGTGCTGCTGCCGTCTTACCAGAGAGGCAAGAGGTGCCACTTCTCCCCAGTCTACCTCTTCCAGATCTTCCCGGTATGTTGGGGTTCCCGGAGACCCAGTGGTCATGGCAGAGGGACTGGCCTCACCCACCCTGGGCTGCCTGGGCTCTTTCCACATGTGTCCAGCTGAGTTAGGGCTTCCCAGCCCCAGCCTGCATGGCAAGGGGGCACAGGGGGAGAAGGTCCCCATGGCTCTGCATTTGGGGAAGGAAGGAAGGAGGGAGAGCCACCAGGAACCCCTGCCTTCCCTCTGCCTCCATCCCACGTGCAGGGGAAAGGGTCAGGCAGGGAGACACCTTGTCCCCCACAACCATGCCGGAGAGGTGGCCCTGCGTCTAATCGCACCCCACTGCTACATGTGATGGGCAGGTGCTGCTGGGGCTCTCCCTGAGCTGGCTGCTCTGCTACGTGCTGACGGTGACCGACATCCTCCCTGCGGACCCCACTGCCTACGGCCACCTGGCCCGGACGGACACCCGTGGAGATGTTTTGTCTCAGGCTCCCTGGTTTCGGCTGCCTTACCCAGGTACCACTGCCCCCCCTTTCCCCATCCTGCCATGCTGCTCCTTGTTCTGGCTTGCACCTCCACTTATGGCTAGCAGGGGGAGACGAAATGCCAAAAATCAGGCAAACACCCACAAGCACCCTTGCTGTTCTCCCCCCGCCCCCGCAACAGATTTCAGGGCAAACATGCCCCACCGACCTGAACCAAGCTCTTTCCTTGCAGGCCAGTGGGGAGTGCCAACCGTCAGCCTGGCTGGGATATTCGGCATCTTAGCCGGGGTGATTTCCTCCATGCTGGAGTCCGTGGGAGATTACTACGCATGTGCCCGCCTGTCTGGGGCCCCACCGCCGCCGAAGCATGCCATCAGCCGTGGGATCGGGGTGGAAGGCATCGGCTGCCTCCTGGCCGGGGCATGGGGGACGGGGAATGGCACCACATCGTACAGTGAGAACGTGGGGGCCCTGGCCATCACCAAGGTGAGCCTCACCGCAGCAGGGTGGCTGCGGTGCCCTGGCCCTCCTGGAGGTTTCCCCCAGGGGTGTATGTACAAAGGAGTGGTGCACATGGGTATGTGCTGGACCCGGGATGTGATCTTAGCCCACCTCCTGCAAGGCACGTGGGAAGAATGTGCCCTGGCACATTGGTGACCACCTCAGCAGCACTACAAATCACCTAACAGAGGTGGTCAGTCCCTCTCTTTCCCTGCTTATGGTCCGCGTGTGGGATGAGGGCACACTGCTGTTACTCATGACACCTGGCCATTAGTCTATCTATCTGTGAGACTAAAGACAGATCCACAGTCTATCTGTGAGACTAAAGACAGCATGTAACATCCGAGCTAACCTGGAAACTTCCTGAGGACTGACTTCATCAAAGACTATCTCTCTGTCTGTCTCTGTCTATCTGTCTTCCTAAATATATTTATAAAGAGGAGTGAAGAGGAGAGCAGAGGAGAGGAAGGGAGAGGAGAGGAAAAGAGAAGAGAAAATAAAAAATAAAATAAAATAAGATAAAAATAAAAGATAAAAGAGAAAGAAAAGAAAAAAAGAAGAGAAAGGAAGGCAGGAAGGAAAGGAAAGGGAAAAAAAAAGAAAAGAAAGAGAAAAGAAAAGAAGAGAGAAAATAAAATATTTAATAGGGCTTCAAATTCCAGAATTTTTATAATCCAAGGATGGCAATCATGTGAAAGGTAGACTATTTCTTTGGGATTATAAAATGTGATAGTGAAGGTTTATGTTTTTACCTCTCTATAACGTTTTGTGAATCCCTTGAGTATCTTATTGCTCTTATAAGGGAAAGAAATTCACAGAGAGAAGCTTGACAATCACATCATAGCTTTTCACTAAGCTTTACAGCCAGGGGATGGGTACAGCCAGCAGCCAACTGGAGAACATTTTTAAATCATTGTCAAATAAGCAATGTCATGTCAGCAGAGCTGTGAGTCAGTAAATAAATGCAGAATTTGACTTATGACTCCCACTCCATAATATTGCTTGTTTCACTGGATTTTATAAACCTCACTCAAAATAACCATTTTTCACAGACTGAAACGTTAGTGTTCGACCGAGGTGGCTGCTTCCAGCAGCAAGGGCTGTCTGGATGTCTGCATGGAGTCCAGTTTAGCCTGTCACCCCACGTACCTTGTCGCTATGAAATCTGTGCATACTGACCATATACCTGAGCCTGTTCTTGCCTGACATGTTAGTTTGCTGCATACATTGTATGTATGGGATGTAGCATAGTGCGGAAGTGCCCAGACTCATAATCATCAGATTACAGGACATGTTCTTCCCATGTGCTCTAAGTCCTGCAGGTGGACATGCCATCCTTGCTGATTCAGGAGAGATGTTTCCCTTAGATCCCACCTTTGCTCACCTTGTTCACACTTTGAGCAGAAAGTACATTCTCATCTCAGTCAGCCTTAAATCAGTGTAAAGACCCTGGCTGGGATAGATGGGGGTGCTGAGAGCACAAGGCAGATTTAATTTCATTTTTTACACAGGAAACGCATTTTTCCATAACAACACATGGAAATGCAAGGGACTTGTTTCCTCTGCTTAAACAGAGGTGTCCAGCACCACCTGATACATCTTTGGATATCTCAGATATCCACAGGGGCTGTCAGATAAGGCAAAGGAGAAGCTGCCGGAAGCTGCCAAGATGCAACATCTTAAATGGCACCAGGCACCTATGTTTAAGCTGCTTGATCAAGCCCAGCATGCCAGTACTGAGCTCTCATTTCCAAGAAAAGAAGAGGAGGATTTTAAGGAGAGGTAAAGATCTCAGAGTCACCGTATACATAGTAGGGAACTGTGCAGTTTCTTTGACCTTAAGAAAGAGAACTGATTTTCTTGTTTTCCTGACATAATTGAAACAAACTCTAAACTAGAGGCTTTAGCATCATATGCTCACGGTTGTCAGTGGATTAGGTAATTTGCCTTTAAGGCCAACTCCATATACTGGGTAATTCGACATTTTGGCAAATTAAGAATCTGAAGCTTAATTCTAATCCTGGAACAAATAGATCTGTTGGCTTTTATTAAATTACAGTTTTGATGGTAATGGTGTCCCAAGGTTTTAAGCCAAGGAATATAAAAAGCCCACCTGAAGGCAATGCTTGATTTTATTTTGAAACTCTCCACCAAATCTTTTTCATTTATCTTTCACAATCAAGTAAGACTTACAATGTTTTAAAGGAACATGTTTAAGAAATGCTTAAAAAGAGACAGTACTAGTAACTGGGAATGTTTTTGTTGAAAGCATTCACAAAAAGCCCTTCCTGGAAATATGACATTCTTCAGATATTTAAAGGGAGGGATTAAAATATTTAATTGAATTATAAAATTTTGCAGAGGATTACAGTTTCCCTGCCTAAGACACAAACATCGTAAATCTTAGCATGATTCTTTAAGCTGTCCAAGTTTTGGTGCAGCAAGATGTATCTTGAATTGAAAGTCTAATAAATATTGCTGCTTTTCTTTTTAGTTTCCATAATCTGTAAATGTTTCTTTCATCCCTTTGTTTGGCATATACTCTTTTTCTTTCCTATTCGCGTGCTCTAACAGATCTGAATGAAAGGCATGGCTTGGTGCTTCATCCCGTCTTTGTTGTAGTGCCCAACCAAGAAAAGGCCACCCTAGCTCTTCCTAGGAAAAAAAAAAAAAAAAAAAGGTTTTACTGAAGCTAAATGGATGATGAGAGATAGGGGCAGACCAAGACACTTCCTCACTTATTAGCCATTTGTTGACCATGGAAAGGATATATCAGATCCTAGAACTCAGGATCGAAGCAGCCAGCCTAGCCGACTCTGCTCTCCCAAATTTTGATCTCCAGGGAATGGAGGGATCGGTGTGGGACACCTAGTTGAAAACCATTTTTAGATGGCAATCCAAACCCTGGTGGAAGGATTGTCCAGTGAATTGACTGGGTGGTTGCACCTCCAGCCTGTGGGTATGCCAAGACATTTCTAGGCTGGAGCGGGAGCAAAGCTGTGTGTGGGGGTTATTGTGCTCTTAATTTAATAATAAACTTTCTGTTTAACAGCAAACTGTTGAAGTCTTAGTAACAATAGGAAAGAGGATAACATCAAGTAAATAGGTGTGGATCCATGATTGTTCTCAGAGTGCCTTTCATGATAAATATTTACTAGTCTGCAAATACAGATGCTTCATGCACAGTGCAAGCATCCCAGCGTACTGGTGGCTGCATCTGAACCTGTGACTGAACGTACCATTGAGTGCTTCGGGCCTCAGGTGCAACCCCTGCCCGGCAGGCTGGCGCTGAAGCCTGCTATTCCTTGCCTCTCTGTGCCGGTCGGTGTGTGACTGCCTCCTCTTCCTCTTGCCCCAGGCAGGGAGTCGAATGGTGATCATTGCTGGTGCCTGCGCCATGCTCCTGAGCGGCATCTTTGGGAAAGTCGGGGCGATGCTTGCCAGCATACCCACCCCCGTGATCGGAGGCATGTTCCTTGTGATGTTCGGAGTTATCACGGCAGTGGGGATTTCCAATTTGCAGGTAACAGCTATGCGAGCGCCATTTCATCCCTAGGGAAGGGGACTTAGGTTTCAAGTCAGGTTCTTACCAGGCTGAGTCAGATATAACCACTCTGCAGCAAATGCAAACATTTGCGTTGGCAGTTCCTCAGGTGAAGATGAGGGCACGTACCCAGAGGGCTCCCTCGTCGGGGCAGGGCTTGCTGGCACTGGGGGCAGCAGGATGACTAGCGCCCCAGCAGCACCAGGGCTACTGCCCAGGTCCACTCCTCCGTGCAGTGTTTACATCCGAGCATGTCTCATGAACACAACAGTAATCCACAGAGCTGGGTAATTCCGAACGTAATGTATACAATTTCTCTGTGCAGTACACAGATATGAACTCCTCCAGAAACATCTTTATCTTTGGATTTTCTGTATTTGCTGGCCTCACAGTTCCCAACTGGGCAAGCAAAAATAGTACACTGCTGGAAACAGGTAAGAAGCGACCTTGGAAGAACTTTCTGTAGCATAAAACTGAAGCAAAGGCTAATTCAGAGAAATCTTTTAAAATGCAGGTTTTCCTGATAAAATCCTGAAACCTGTGCTTTGACTGTTGCCTCTTTCTTTCTGGGAGGGCTGTTCTTGCCCTTTGCTCTGATGCACAGCTCTGTTGTGGAAATCTCTGCTCTTGATCAGTGACTACACCTTGCCAGACTCCTGTCAGGCTAAGGATTGCAGAGCTCTTCCTCGGGACACATTCCCAGGATGGGGCTTTGGGGAGGAGAAGACTCCAGGGCTGAATCCTGATCAAGATCTCAATGAACGAGGCTTTCTTACATGCTCATACAAAATAAAACTTTGTGCTTCCAAAATGCAAGAGCATACTAAATTCCATCAAGTTCACTTTATTGAAATTTCCAGTCCTCAACCGTTATGCCTTCACTGTGTCTCGTGTGACTAATGTGTTTGTCACAAAGGCTGTAGTGTCCTCTCTTAAGGTATATATGGCTGGCTGGGTGAGCTGGGCTCACAGATCACACGCTCTGTAGATGGTCTATCAGATGCTCTGTGTCACTGGGCTATTTTGCTCATGTCAATTAGCGCTCACAGAGAAACATCACACCTGACTAACTTGTGGTGAAATCCCATGCTAAATATACCTATTATTTCTTTGGGAACTGAAGCCCGTGCTTTTGTAGGGAACTGCTTGGTGTTATGTTGGGGAGGTGCAGAATATGTTTGGAGCAGAAGGCAGCTTTTTCTGGGACAGTGCTGTGGTCTGCACTGTTAATAGGCTCTTAATGTACTTATGAGTCATCTCCTGCCCACTGGCAGCTGGGTCAGTGAATAATTATGCAGAATAAAACTGTAGGTCTGAAACTGGCAGTGAGATCAATCTCCCTTGCGTTGCCAAACCTTAAGCTCTGCTTTGGGATTTGCAAGTCTTGTTTAAACAAGCATGCAGCTTGCAGGCTCTTGGCATGGGGTATGTTGCTGGTCAAACATGTGTCTCTCTCCACCACTATCCAAAGCTTTGTTTTGCTGCTAGGAATCATCCAGCTGGACCAGGTGACCCAGGTGCTTCTCACCACTGGCATGTTTGTGGGCGGACTCCTGGGGTTTATCCTTGATAATACCATTCCAGGTAGGATTTGCTGAAATGAGCTAAACTACTAGTTTGTGCCTGCCCTAGGGTTTGTTTCCTAGCATTTTTTGTCTTCGTGACTACTGTTCTATGGGTAGGAGTTGTGCTAGCAGCCATGAAACACCGTGTGACTGAACTCCTCCCAGAGAGGGGAGAGGAACAGGAGACATCACTGCAATGGTGTCTGGTTGGAAAACAGCAGCTTATCAAAAACTAACACATTTTTCAGGAACAACAGTCTGTTTGGGAAAAATGTCTTTTAGGGATAATGCCACCCTAGAGCCATGTTGCTGTTTGAAAGGAGAGAAAGGCAAGAAGTTGAAGGAGCCAACGCATGCCTCCTTATGAGAGCTGTTAGAACTGAGGCTGAACTGGTGCCACAGCAGTGGCAAGCAGTAGGAAAGGCTGATGACCAAAGATAGGATATAGCACCTGCAGCTGGCCCTCACAGACAGCAAAGAGCCTTTGATTTTCATCAAGCCAGGGGAGGGATGGCATAAGAATAGGAGAGGAAACCCTTTTTTCTGCTACAGAAAAATAGCAGGAAGGGCACTCTGTTAACCAGATTCTTTTACCATCTCAGGCTTCTTGGAAAGCCAGTCTCCTTTTGGCTCATTAATTTTCTTGTAGCCCTTGATCTTCAGCTCCTCTGGGCAGAATTTCCAAGTGTGCTCACTCCCTTTCCCAAGAGGGACTCAACCGCTGCAACAATTACAGGCACTTAGCAATTCCTTGGCTAGGGTAAATGCCTGTGACTGACTAGTAATTGCTAGTTAAACCTTATTCCCCCACTCCACAGTATCTGGGCAGTTAACATCCAGCCTTGCTTTCCTAGCACTGTATGACCCCCGCTTTGAACAGTTCTTGGATGCCCCATGGCTTATGAAAACCTGCCATGGTATACTTGATTCCTGTGGAAAGCAGCGGAGAAGAACGCTTATCTGGAAGCTGTTGCAGGAAGACAGATATTGTGTAGAAGCTCGTTAGTGAATTTTTGTAGAGAGCTTTGGCGCTAGAAAGGTTTAAGTGCAAGGGATCTGTATGTTGCGCTGGGTCTGCTGGGATTTGAGAAGTGGGCGCGAGGCACTCAAGGTAGTCCTATGCTCAGAACACCCACTGTTTTAAACACAACAATCTCATTTTTGCTGTTGCAGGAACACAGGAGGAGCGGGGGCTCCTGGCGTGGAAGAACAGCCACAAGGGAGAGGCGGACAACTCTCAGCTTGTTTCCAAGGTCTATGATCTTCCGTTTGGCATAGGCACCAAATACTGCGCTGTCTCTTGGTTTCGGTATCTCCCCGCTTGCCCCAAAAGACTACCTGGCAGCAAGAGAATGGATGAACTGAAGGCTGCTAGACAGGAAAGCAGTGTTAAAGCAAGCTCAGAAAGAGACTCTGAGGTAGGTGCTGATACAAGGATATGAGCACCTGGCCTGCAGATGAACTCATCTCAGAAGCAGAGGTCTGAAAAGCGTGTCTGCAGCCCCCATCATTGAACATGAGCTGGCAGCTGTTAGAGGCTGGAGCAGGAAAATGATAATGTCTTTCTCCTCCCAGCTCTGCCCCCTGCACCACTGGTGGCCTTGAGGGAGTTGTTTTGCTCCTCTCTGCTCCTGCCTGCCCACCTCTAGGAAGAACATAATCCCTCTGTGGGGAACACCACAGCCCAAGAAATGCCTGGGAAAGATGTTCAGTTTCCTTCCTTGCACTGAGCCTTGGGGACCCCAAGGAGCAGCTGTTTAGCTGAAGCAGAGCTCTTCCTGTCCCCTGTCCTGGCTGCTCAAGGGGCCACAGGAGAAGGCATCCCTGATGTGGGCCCTGTACCACTCTCAGGCATCCCTTGGGCTAAGGCTAATCCCCACCACCTTAAAGATCCGCAATGGCAATGCTCACCTCACAGCTTGTGGTTTGCACCTCATGCTGGCCAAGGTGAAGGAGCAGGCACCTCTAGGTCATGATTCATCTCATTCCATATTCCCATAATCTAAAGTCAGTCAAATGAATGTTGTTGTAAGAGAGGCATCTCAGGTTAATGGAATGGATTGTCTTTGTTACATACCTCTCCCACCTTAGGCCACAGAGGGAATCTAGAGACCTTACTTAGGCTCTTGACCTAACAGAAAAACCCAGCTTCACTGAAATGACTCCCACCTGGGGTGCTGGGAGCAGTCTCAGGGGAGCCAGCTTCCCCAGGGCACCAAACCCTACAAAGATGGAGTAATCGTCATCAAAGATGGAGGAGAAAACCCTTCTGCGTGCAATCTGATGCATCCCTGCTACCACTGTGTCCTGTGTCCCCTCCACCATACCTGTTCGGTCTGGTGTGGTGATTGTGCGGTGACAACCACTTCTCTGGAAAACGGTTTGCAGATTCTTGCTCTTTTCCATCATCAGCAGAAACAGCCTTAAGCTGTATGGCCGTATATAATGTGATTGCACACGATGCTGGTTGCTGGTGGTGAGTAACAACTTTGTTGCTGTAGCATAAGCTTGTGTTTCCTGCATTGAGATTTATACTTAGATATTTTGGGGGAAAAATAAATAAAATGTACAGTGTAATGATATTTCTTAGGGTGATTGCCATAGTGAGTGGCACGTAGTATTCAAAGAATCACAGAGTAATTCAGTTGGAAGGGACCTCTGGAGGTCCTCTGGGCCAGCCCTTGCTCAGAGCTGGTCCTGTTAGACCAGGTTGGAGAGGACTGTGTCCGGTTGAGCTACAGAGAGCGAGCCACAGACTCTTTGGGCAGCCTGTTCCAGTGTCTGACCACTCTCACGGTGAAAAGCGTTTGCCCTCCTGTCTAACTGGAATTTCCGATGCTTCACCTTGTGTCTGTTGCCTCTCATGGTGTCACTGTTCCCTTCTGAGAAAAGTCTGACCCCATCTTCTCTGTACCCTCCACTGGACAGCTGAAGGCCACGATTTGATGCTCCCTTAGCCCTCTTGTCTCAAGACTAAACAAAACCTGGATGGTTTCAATGAAAAGCCATTATTCCTCATGCCTGTTACAGTCCTGTTCTTTAGTCCTGTCCTACAGCTGTAATGGTATGTGGCTTGTTTTATTGGTAAGGGACATATTGAGTTTTTTACTTTAGGAGAAAATGAAGCCTGCATAGATCAATTATGTGAGTACTGGGATCCTAATGGAGGAAACATTATGGTATAAATAGTTTGCTGTTATGGGCAGGTTGGAGTGCCTCCGTTGAAGATTGTGGTTGTTATGTCTTTGGGAAAAAAATGATTTGCACATTTAAGTATATCTGATCCCCCCTCTCCATCACAGATTTTACAGAGATGACTAGTCCCAGGCATCTCAGCTCTGCTATCTTCCTCATCCTCCACAACCTTGACTACGTCTCTACGCTCATTTAGAGTCAGTCTATGCTCCCAGGGGACCTAGCAGACAAACCCATGGTCTTACTCATCATCACTCTTGAATTTACTTGTGCTGTAGCGCATGTGTGAAAGTGAGTTGTTAGATTACATCACCCTGTCCTCATGTCCTGTACTGAAGCTGCGAGGCTGCTGCTGGCCAGACCCACCACACACTGGAGGAGTGGTTTAGATGGGAACAGGATACACAGCTAATGAACAAGGTACACAAGCAACACCAATAGGGCCAAAACCTGCTGTACTATGTAGCCTTCAGATGCTCCATCTTCCATGTGAGACTTTTTCCTTCGGTGCTATGGTTGGGATCCCCACATGGAAAAAGCGAGGTGGGAAGCATGAATGGGGAACCCTCAGTAATTTTACTGGCTTTGTGTCAGCTCTGTGGAGGCTGCAGCCATATGTTTTGCTTCTCCTCCTAAGACATGTTAGGATGCTGGCAAGCACCAGAGGTGTATATTTGCTTTAGACTTGTCAAAACAATAATATTGGCATAGGTTTCCTATAAAAATCAGTCTTCAGTTGGCTTTTTGTTCCTCACTCCAAGGATGGAGAACATCATTGCTCATCTGTTATGCTGTCCTCCTGCACGCCCAGCCTGCTGCTGTGTCTGAGTGTCCCCATCTTGTATTTGGCTTGCAAGCTCCCTGGAGTAGAGCTGGGCATGACTTTACAGCTCCTGGCATGAGGGGGCCCAAATCCCCAGCGGAGGCTCATTCCTTACCCTGGCACATCCTACGGCCCAGGAGGTGCACAGAGCTGGGGGGGGGGAGATGCTCGTCTGGGGCAGCTGGGTCTGCTGTTGCTAAGGCTTAGAGGCAGTTTTCAGAAGCTGTTTACGTCCCTATTTCAAGCTCAGGCTCCTAAATGTCCTTTAAAATTCCCCCTTTGGTGTCTTTGTTACATATTTATAAAATATCCTTTTATTTGCCTCAGGGGGACATTTCCAAATTTTAAAATGAAGTAGGCAGGGGTTAGGCTGCAGGGCCACCACTCCTCCCAGCTGCATGTGGCCACTTGAGGTTTGGCAACAGCTTTGGCTTTGCACCACAGCGACACAGCTTCTGTTTATTTGCTACTTACGAAAATAAATGAAAATCAGAGGATCCTCAAGTGTAAAACTGAACACTTGCGGGCTGTTCTGGATTGCCTGGGGAACAGCCAGCTACCTGTCGACTGTATCACTCTTTGTGTTGCTGTCCCGAGTGCAGCAAGACTTACTGATTTCAACCAGGTGCAGGGTCACCCTGCTTGCAACTTTGCAGAGAGGCAGATGGATAATTGGGAAGTCCAGGCAGATACTCCTGCTGTTCTGGCTGAGGAGATCTGGTGATGGGTATTTGCTGGTACCTAGATGCACTGGCTCTAGAACAGCTCATCGGCAGCTCATTTTCACAGCTTTCTCACAAGACGTGACCTGGGCAGTAGGACTGCCCTATGTTATGCTCCATGTGTTGTAAATTGAGGGGCTGCCATGCTGCAGCACAGCTGTAATGTACTGGGTCCCATTCTGCCCTGTTCAGCTTGGTCTCCCCAAACCCCTGGAACAGCCACACTTCGACTGATGCATTCATGTTTCCCACTCCTCCCTCCCTGCTGCCTTTCTGCCTCCAACTCCTTCCCACTGCCCTGCCCCAGTAGCCTACATTTTCCAGATTTTTTCATGAAAAGTTTCCATCAGACCAACCACTGAGCGCTGCACAACGCGGTACTCGTGCATGTGTAGCAATAACGTGCTCAGGAAATAAGGCTGCTTCCCTGCCAAGGCAGAGCAGACCTCACGCACGCCGGGGCAGAACAGCTATTGTCTGTGCAGTGTTGGCTCTGCAGGAGAGGAAACTGCCTTCCCACGTTACACGCAGGCCTGCACTCTTGTAAACTATGATCATGCGACAGGAGGAACCAAAGCAATGTGTTCATCTTCTCCTTAATGCCGTAACACCTCCCACAAAGCCTGCTACCATTTTCACGTTACCTAAACACACCTGTTGTTTCGCATTAATGTTCAGGCCAGTCTTAACCTAAAATTCTCCTGGTGAAGCATCAGAAGCTCTCACATGTGATGATCAAGGGAATGCATCTACACAGTGTATGGTGTCCATTTAAAACTGTCTCCTCTGGTAGGTGGCAGGCTGAAAGTAATTTGAAAATGAAATATTCTACTGTTTAACTTCTGTCCTGGACTGTCCTTCAAAAGGGTGGGGATGCAGGACTAATAAGAAAAGGTTGCTAACCCTTGAACATTATCTACTCATATGGCTGTCCTATGGCACATGCTAGTATTGCCAAGTTTGTCCTCAGCTGATGCAGTAATTAAGATGGACATGGTGAAAGAAACATTTATGTAACAAACCTGACTAAAAGTTGTGTGTCAAATGGAACTAGAGATGACAGAAATCTGCATGATTTCTACAGCTAAAAGCTTACAGAAAAAGTATCCTCAATACTGAGAAAAACTAACCTATATTTCCCCCAAAAACTACACAAAGATAAGAAAACACAGGCAGAGCACTTAATGTAAACACTTATTACTGTAGGTACATATATATGTCTCTTGTACTAGCTAAAGGAAAGAATGATTTGACCTTGGATCCCCTGCAAAGTCTGTACATGTATTTCAACGAGCACGTGTCCCAAAACCCAGACTGCCCAGGGGATACACATGCCTGGCATTTTGGAATGAGAGGGAGAGGAGGAGAAGGGAGAGCCAGCATTGCTTATAGCCTCAAAACAATGATAGCCTGTACAGACGAAGCACACTAGAAAGGCCAGGGAAAGGCAAGGCTGCACCCTGGAGAACTCAGAGGGGCTCTTAAACCCAAACAGGATCTGCAATTAGGAACCCCCACTTCCAAACACAGCAACCTGGCAAACATCCACCTGGGAGCGCTACTGCAGCCTCAACCGCAGGGACAAAAGGCGCTCTGGAGGAACTATTCTCCCCTTGTACTTCAGTACCAGGCTCCACATGCATTTGCTTGAATACAGCTGCATGTATCATCCTCTTATGCACCAAGGCAGTGTTGGGCCACA